GATCTTGCCTGATACACTATTCCAAAACCTCCACGTCCTAATCTCGTTTTATTTTTCAAACTGTCATAAGGTATTTCTTGCAGTTTGTATTCTTTAATAACGCCTTGAAACCAATTTATGTAGCTGAGTAATTTACACATCGAAAGAATAAAAAATATTTAGAAAAAAATTCCATTGGCAATAACTAGTTTTCCGCAAACCCGGATCCATTTGGATACGGGTTTGCGGAACACTAGCAATAACCGTTTACATAATTTTAATAAATTATATACTTACGAACTGGTAATTTAATATGTAAATGAAAAGAATGGGAGTAAAATTTAATAGAAAATTCTATTGAACGATAAAATTTCATGAATAGATTATATACTTACTTCCTAGTAATTTAACACGTAAATAAAAGAACTAAGCAATGCTTAATAGAGAAAACTATCATAATTACCATTTATTATCTTCTCGCTGAAAATCTTTCTGCAATTTTTAAGACACGATCGTTAATTATACTAATCAATAAAAGTGTTACATAAAATAAAAAGAGAATATACCTCAATAGATTCTATTCATCATCATAAATTTGAGTTGAAAATGGCATTAAGTTATTATTTAGAAAAAAACATAAAACTACATTGATTAATAATTTAACCTTGATAACTTCCTAAATAATTATGAGCTAATTCATGAAACTTTAGGGATTCTGCGTCATTTGGATTGATCTTTAATGCCTTATCTAAATCTTCATGTGAATTTTTATAGTTATGAAGCATATAATATGCTTTTCCTCGAGTTTTTAATGCATCAACATTGTCTGGTTCAATATTTAACAATTCTGTTAGACTTTTTAGAGATTCTTCATATCTTTCTAATCTGAAACATGACTGTCCCTGGACTAATAGCGCAGTAGTGTTTCTTGGATCAATTTTTAATGAATTTTTTGAATCATGAAGAGAATAATCATATTGCTTTAACTCAAAATAAGATTGCCCTCGATATCCTAATATCATTGCATTATTCGGATTAAATTTTAATAACTTAGAAAAGTCTGCAAGAGACTCTTCATATCGGTTTAACTTATAAAATATTTTCCCTCGAGTTGCTAGTGCAAATGCGTTATTTTCCTCGAATTTTAATGGCATCGTCAAGTCATCAAGTAACTTGACATAATTTCCTAAAAAATATACTTGTCCTCGAGATCTTAACGTGTATGCATTACATCGGTCTAAACTTAATGCATCTGTTAAATCTTCAAGAGAATCTTTATATTTTCCAAGCATATAAAATGCTAATCCTCGAGTTCTTAGTGCATCAAGATTTTTTGGACCAATTTCTAATGATCTTGCTAAACTTTTAAGAGATTCATTATACATTTTTAACTCATAATAGGCTTGCCCTAGAAATCTCAGTGTAACCGCATCATCAAAATCAATTTCTATTATCTTTGTTAGATTTTCACGACACTCCTCATATTTATTTGAATTAAAACAAGAATATCCCAGAAATCTTAGCGCTTCTACGTTGTTAGATTCAAGTTTCAATGATTCAGTTAAATCTACATAAGATTCATTATAACTGTTTAATTTGTAATATATTTGTCCTCTAAATCTTAGTGCGACTGCATTATTTGGATTAATTTCTAAGGATTTAGTTAAATCTGCGAGAGATTTTTCATACTGATCTAGCATGTAATATGTCTGTCCTCGAAAACTTAATGCACTTGCATTATTTGGTTTAAAATTTATCGATTTATTCAAATCTGCAAGTGACTTTTCGTAGTCCTTTATCGTATAGTACGTTTGTCCTCGAGACATTAGCGCGACTGGATTATCTGGCTCGATGTCTAATGATTTTGTTAAGTCATCAATTGATTCGTTATAATTCTCTAAATTATAATGAACTAGTCCTCGAAGTCTTAAAGATTCTGCATTGTTTTGAGTAATATTTAATGCTTTATTTATATCTTTAATTGAACTGTTATGGTCTTTGAGCGCATAATATGCCTGTGCTCGAGTTTTTAATGCATTAGAATTTTCTGGTTCAATATCTAACAATTTTGTTAAATTTTCTACTGATTCTTTGTATTTTTTCAATTTATAACAAGATTGTCCATGAATCCATAGTGCGGCAGTGTTTTCTGGATTAATTTTTAATAAATTTATCGAATCGTTAAGAGAATCTTCATATTTTTCCAAAATTAAATAAGTTTGTCCCCGACGTCCTAACACCACTGCATCAAACGGATTAAAGCTTAATAATTTAGAAAAATCTATAAGTGACTTCTCGTAGAGTTTTAATTTGTAATATATTTGACCTCGAATATTTAATGCAAATTCGTTATTTTCCTCAAGTCCTAATAACATATTTAAGTCTTCAAGAGATTTTTCGTACTTTCCTAAGCAGTAATATGCATGTCCTCGATATCTTAATATATGTAAATTATGCTGTTCTAAATCTAATGCTTTCGTTAGATCCTCAAGAGAATTTTCATATTTTTCAAGCATATAATATGCTAATCCTCGAGTTTTTAACGCATCAAGGTTTTCTGGACTAATTTTTAATGAACTTGCTAAACTTTTAATGGATTCATTATACATTTTTAGTTCATAATAAATTTGTCCCAGAATTCTCAAAGTAATTGCATTACCAGAGTCAATTTCTGATAACTTTGTTAAATTATCAAGAGATTCTTTATATCGTTTCAATTTAAAACAAGAGTAACCTAAATGTCTAAGCGACTCTGTGTCACTAGGATCAAGAATCAATGATTTAGTTAAATCTTCATAAGATTCATCATAGTTCCCTATTATGTAGTGTATTTGTCCTCGAACCCTTAATGCAACTACATTATTCGAATTGATTTTTAAAGATTTAGTTAAATCTGTAAGAGATTCTTTATACTTATTTAGCGCGTAATATGTTTGTCCTCGAAAACTTAATGCATTTGCATTAGTTGGTTCAAATTCTATCGATTTATTCAAATCAACAAGTGATTCATTATAGCGTTTTAACACATAGTACGTTATTCCTCGGGATCTTAGCGTGACTGGATTATTTGGTTCTATGTCTAATGATTTTGTTAAATCTTTAATTGATTCGTTATAATTCTCTAAGTTATAATGAACTAGTCCTCGGAATTTTAGGGACTTGGTACTAATTGGTTCAATATTCAATGCCTTATTTAAATCTTTAAGTGCGTTGTTATATTCACTAAGCATATAATATGCTTGCCCTCGAGTTTTTAATGCATCCAAATTTTCTGGTTCAAAGTCTAATAGCTTTGTTAAATTCTCTATTGATTCTCTGTACTTTTCCAATTTATAACACGATTGTCCCCGAATTCTTAGTGCAATTATATTTTTTGGATCAGTTTTTAATGAATTTATCGAATCATTAAGGGATTTCTCATATTTTTTCATTTTATAAAAAGCTAATCCTCGATATCCTAATGTAATTGCATTGTTCGAATCAATTTCTAATGATTTATTTAAATCTGCAATGGATTCTTCGAAGCGATTTAGCATACTATATGTTTGGCCTCGAGATCTTAGCGTAATAGCATTACTATAATCAAGCTCTAATGATTTATTTGAATCAGAAAGAGATTCTTCATAGCGCCCTAACACATTTAAAGTTTGCGCTCGAGATCCTAGTGTATCAGGATCATTTAAATCCTTTTCTAAGGATTTATTTAAATCGGCAAGCGATTCTTCATAATGTTTTAACATATACAATGTTTGTCCTCGAGATCTAAGCGCGACAGCATTATCCGGTTCTATTGTTAATGATTTATTTAAATCTATAAGAGATTCTTCATAATGACCTAAAATATAGTATATTTGTCCCCGTGATATTAGCGAAGCCAAATCATTATCAACAATACTTAATAATTTAGTTAAATCTGTAAGTGACTGTTCATAATTTTTTTGTTTAAAGTAGGTTAATCCTCGGAATTTTAACGCATCTATATCATCGGGATTAATTTCCAGTGATTTATTAAAAAAACCGAGAGATCCTTCATAGTTATTCGCCTCATAACAAATTAGTCCTTGAGCTTTTAGTTCAATCACATCGTCTGGAGAAGATTCTACAAGATTTTTTAAACTAGGCTCATTTAGCATCTGTACAGATGGTCTGACAGAAAATAAATTAGGTGTGCCAATCTTGGTTAAAATAGGTTTTGTTATTCGATTACTATTTGTAATAAACACTTCATCAGCTATTTCTTTTGATACTTTATCAAGAGTCACCAAAATTTCTTTTGTTGTTGGACGATTCTGTGGATTAATATCCCAGCATTTTTTATAAAGTTCAGAGAAACTAAATGGAGTACCAGGAATTGTATCTTCTCGGTAGCCTTGTAATATTTGAATGATTATGGCAACGCTATTAATAGCGCTCCCAAATGGGGCAGTTCCACTTGTAAGTTCCCAAAGTATTACACCTAAACTGTAAACATCTGATTTTTCGTCTCGTTTTTTTTCAGAATCGATATGACATTGTGGATCAATGTATGCTGGTGCACCATGCGTAGATATGGATGAAGATGTTAAACTATCATCTTCTTTTCTTGATAAACCAAAATCCGCAATCAAGAATTTTTCATCATTTTTTAAAATATTTTTAGGATGCTAAAGAAATTATTAAACGTTATTAAATTATCGGTTTAGATAATTGATATAAATAATAAATTAAATGTAAATTTCTTATGCTTACTAAGTCGCAATGAATTATTTTACTTTCGTGTAAACGCATTAATCCGAGAGTAATTTGCTTTGCAATTATAAAAATTTCATTTAATGATATTTTAAAAACGTTCGCATGCCATTTGCTTTGTAAATATGTTCGCAAGTTTCCTCCATTGGCAAACTGCAGTACCAACATATGATCTTTCGTTTCAGGATCTAAGATTATTAAAATAAAGGCTAGAATTATTACTTTAAGAATTTAAGAATATACTATATGTATTTTTAACGATACCTATCGTAATTCCATAGAATTGGTTTACATTAGGATGATATATAAGAATGTGCAGTTGTCTAAGCTATAATGATATTATGATTTATTAGATTGAGATCAAGCACTGGAAGCAACCAAAAATATATTACCTCATTAACAAACTCTCTAGTTGCTTCTTTCGTTTTGAGACTTTTCAATGCGACCTTTACTCCATCGTATTCAGCCGAACTAACAAGTCCAAACCCGCCTTTATAAATTTTAACGCATTAAAAATCAAATTTAATTTGTACAAAATAAAAAGGTGCACTAAATAATTAGAAGACCATACCTTCTCCAATATTTTTGATATTGCTGAATAGAGAATATTCAAAAAAGGCTATATTGCCTTTTTCCAGCTCCTTCTTCAACCAATCATGGTATTTTTCTGACTTTTCTGACACATTTGAGGAAGACATTATTAGTTTCTATTCATTATAATCACAGTGAAGGTAAAGATTGACTCGAAATTAATATATTTCGGTATAAAAATATTCCGGATGCAACGGTCCTACGTGCGTACGTAAGTATCTGTAACATTAGACCATCTCATTTCTGGCATGATTTTCGCGGTAACAATTTTTGTATCAAAATGCATCAAAAACGTAACTTTCTATCATTAAATTTTTTTAAGAAATTTTTTGTTTTCCGTTATTTCTTTTGTCTTTCTATCATCATACTCATAGCAATTATTCTACCAAAATTTGCAAATTTCTAAATTTCATGAAATTCCCTAGCTATAAATTTATCATACCAACTAAGGGACTACGAAATGCTAAGATTTCAGCTATAGTTTCAATAGTACAGTTTACATTTAAGATAAATTTAGTTGCTAAAGAAACTTAAATTTTGAGTATGGCTTAAAACCACTTGCAAACTTTATTTATGAAATAATGTTACGTTTAAATTGCATTAATTTATAAATTTAAATCTTTGATCCGAGTTGAAGGGTCATACAATAAAGTACAAATTATTAAACAAGCGTAATAGTACATGTAAAAAACAAACTGACTTTTTTAAAAATTCACGACAGATATATAAAAATATCTTCGATATCATTATTAGATCTCGAAGAATCTGATGTAACCAAGTTACGATGTATATTTGGAGGCCTAAGATAATCAATCTTATTTTCAACCACATCGGGTAAATCCGGTAAATTTAATTCTTTACCAGAAATCAAACTTTCTAATGCTTCATGAACAAATTCAGTTTCAGGTCTTTTTTCAGGATCTAAATCCCAACAACGTTGATAAAGATTAACATAATTTTCAGGAGTATTTTCTATAGGAGTTTCTCTATCTCCTTTGTATATTTGTATTATTACAAAATCCCTTGGTACAATAGATTCAAATGGTGGTCGACCACTTGAAATTTCCCAAAGAATAACACCTAAACTATAAATATCAGATTTTTTATTTCGTTTATATGAAGTATTAATAAAGCATTGAGGTTCTATATATGCAGGAATTCCATGTTCAGTAGATGAAGTAATGGAGGACTCATTTTTGGATAGTCCAAAATCCGCAATCATCATTTTCCCCTCATGAACCAAGATATTTTTAGAATGCTATAAAAATATTATAAAAGTAATAAATGTTAATAATAATAAATGATTTGAGAATAATTTGAAAATAATCAAACAAATTATATTTTACACGTCTTACAAGGTCAAGATGAACGATATTATTAGAATGTAAGAATAAAAGTCCCAGTGTTATTTCCTCAGCAATACGTAATTTATCAGTCCATTGAAGAGCAGAAAAATTTTGCCTTAAATAATTTTTTAAATCACCATCAGCAGCGTATTGTAAAACCATTTTATAATTCGATGTGAGTTGATCCGTAAGCGGTTCTGAAAAAACAATTAGCTTGAGCTTAATAACTATTATATTAAATAGTTATAACCGCGTGGAAGTGACTTACCTTTAACTATGCCATAAAACTGTATGACATTCGGATGAAAACTAACTTTTTGTAAATGTCGAAGCTGCGCACATAATATATAAAAAAACTCAGAGCTTAACTGTAAATTATGATTAAAAATAAATAACGATTTAAATTTTAAATAATTCAATACCTCTTTAATAAATTCTTGACTAATTATATCTTCATTACCAGTTAGACTCTTAAGAGCCACAGTAAGTTGACAGTCTTTCCACAAAGCTTTGTGCACAACTCCAGTGGAAGTCTTGCCAATCACATCGAAATTAACGAATTGATTATAATCAAAAAAGTTTATAAGTTCATCTTCGATAGCTTTCTGAAGCCATTTTATTGAAAATTTTGATTTATTTATTATAGGTCCAATACTGTCGCCTCTTTCTAAACGCATGGTCTTTATGTGCGAATTTGTAATCTCTTTATGCAACTTTTTGTTTAATTCAATTTTATGAAAACCTTAATGTTAAATAGAAAATTAATCTAAATATGTAAAATATTTGTGTAATGTCACAATTGCATATGTATGATAACCTCGTGATGCTAGTCATTGTCATTATGCACAGTATATATAAGTATTGATTAAAAATAGACTAGTGACTTGAGATGCCTCGAGTCATGTGAATGTTGTGAAACTTCGGGTATTCCGTGGGTCCGGCAGAAGACTTTATTAAAGATGTAAATTGCTCTTATTAAACTAGTTTTTTTTTTATATAAGTATTAAAATGCTACGTACAATATACATAAATATACAAGAGACTGTAGAAATCTACATAGAATTCCATTAAGCCAACCGTGAATTTATACAAAAATTACAAAAGTTACAAGTAGAACTGTATTTAAAATTTAACGGATATCCGGATATCCGAATTATTCATAATAATTTTGTTATAAAATTAAACCAAAAGATATCAGGATCGCACCTCTTATTATAAATATTGGAAAACTTCGTAATCCTCTATTTGAAACCACCCATCTAAATCACGAATTTTACATTCATAATCAGATTTAAAACACCCCCAAGTTTTGCCTTTTTTATCAGAAGCCATGAAAAGGTCAAGGCTAAAACACGGACCTAGACCTTTTTCACGATATATAGCATGTTTAGAAAATGCGATTTTCGAAAATATTGAATTTTCTAAATTTCCTCGTTTTAAAGAGAAAATAAAACTAGCACAAGTCTCTGAATAACAGCAATCAGTAGAATTAAAACTACCGAGCTTTTTCCACTTTAAAGGATTATAACCTCCGATTATCTCGGGAGAGTCTTTGATACGTAAAATCAAAATAGTTCTTTCAATATTTTTTAATTTTTTAAAAAAAATGTCCCTGCCGAATCCGTCGGCTTTCCCTTTTAGGAGTAATTTTAGTTTATCTGGAATTATAAAGGTATCAATATTATTAAGTGAAGGATCAATTTGACAAATAATCTCCCTTGAATCTTCAACAGTAATTAAGGTTGAATTAATTTTAGGATTTTTGATCATATTTAAATTTTGAAGAACGCTTTCAGCGTTTGGACGTTCATTTGGATTTTCATCCCAACACCGCTCGAATAAGTCAACATATTGAGATGGAGTACCTTTTACAGGAGTTTCTCTGAGTCCTGTATATATTTGTATAACGAGAGTTTCTCCGAATGTAATAGATCCATATGGAGGTTTCCCGCTTGAAATTTCCCAGAGGATGACACCTAAACTATATATATCGGATTTCTCGTTGCGTTGATATAATATATCTTTGAAACATTGGGGATCAATATATGCAGGCACGCCATTAACGCTTGATATTTGACCTGACGAGACATCCCGTAATTGTTTTGAAAGACCAAAATCCGAAATCATCATTCTTTTTTCATGAACTAATATATTTTTGGAATGAAGATCACGATGAATAATTTTATTTTTATGTAAGAACATTAGTCCAAGTGTGATTTCTTCAGCGATGCGTAATTTATCAGCCCACGAAAGAGAAGAAAAATTTTTCTTTAAATAATCTCGTAAGTCACCACCAGAGGCATACTGCAAAACCATATTAAAACCAGTTTCTGGGTCTATTTTATATATTCTTTATGTTAAAAATGGTAAACAATCAAAATTATCAAAGAATTATATAATTATAAAAAAATCACAACCTTTTGTGACGCCATAAAATTGAATAATATTCGGATGAAAGCTGACTTTCTGTAAAGTTTGTAGCTGCGCATATTATACAAAAATTTAGGAAAAAGTTTTAAACATCAAATCAACAATAATAATAATAATAATAATAATAATAATAATAATAATAATAATAACCTCTTTTATAAAATCATTAACGATTCTATCATCTTTTAAACATTTCAGGGCGACAGGCAATTTACATTGTTTCCACATATACTTTCGAACTATTCCATACCCACCCTTACTTATCTCACCAAGATAAGTGAATTTATCTTGGTCAAAAAGGTTTATGTGCTCATCTGATATTGCCTGTTGAAGCCACTTTTTCAGGGAGTTCGTTTTGACGTTGGGGTTAGGCATTTTAAAAAAAAAACTGATAATTTAAAAATTTTGTTTAACGTTAAATATAGTTTAGTGTTATGCAAATCATTTTCATATGACCATTGACCTATAATTACATTTTATTAACATTTATAGTATCGGGTACTGTACTGTATTCTTCATTTATCTTTTGTCGTAACATATCGATATCGATATGTAATGTACTGTAATACTACATAACAATCAATTATTCTTACTCGATCAGATGACTTTATTAAAACATACTGAAGGACGATGGGAAAGTTTATTCGCTATCTCTATCGCTATAGGCTCTGACAAACTAATTTAGATACACTGAAAACTAAGGTACGTGCGTATGTACATAAATTTTACAAAAAAACAATCTTATACATATTAATCTCAACTTATTAGAAGCATTATAAACCTAAGACTTCGTTTGCACAACTACGTATTTAGACCTACTTCATTCCCTTACTACCTATAATGCCTTAAAGAAATCTACATCCTAAAGAGAATCGAAATGTAACGGACGTTATTATTTGAAGAAATAAAAAAAAAGGGGACCTTGCACGGTTGACACTGCTGCGAAGCCTTATTACTCTCAGATGAGTCCTTACACTGCCACTTCAACCGCAGAGCCCCTTTTTGCTTTCGCATCATTATGGATTGGGAGGGGAGATAATGCCGGCCTGCATTACAAGGCGAGCGATAGCGAAATAAAGTTACAACACTTTAACGTTAACGTTAACGTTAACGTTAACGGCTAAGTAACCCTTAAATAACCCTTAATATTAACTCAGAAACATATGAATACCTCCTTACTTTAGCCGTTTGCTAACTCACAACAATGACAAATCATATGCGATCATAATATTATTAACTGCATCTAACGAGAAAATTCAGGAATTTATTACAAAACAGCCGTAAAAGGCTAAAATAACAAATGTACATGTGATTCGTAAAGTCATCTGATCTCGCTGTCACTTCGTTGACAGGCTTCTCATTTTTTTAAAATTCGTATCTTGACAAATCCAGAGCAATCAGTACAAATGTAAAAACTTTATAAATTTATTAACGCTAATAATATGTTCAATAAAAATACATATATATATATATAAATATTATTTTCTAAATTCTAACAAACAATAATTTATGATGTAATATAATTAATTAAATGTTTAACGACAATATGTAATAGTTATATCCTGGGCAGTTGGGTATAAGCGGGGCTGAAAGTCCCGCTCATATACATAGTGCCCAGGGTATAACTGATTTATGCCCTGCGATCTTGATTTAGTGACCAGGGTATAAAACTTTTTAAAAGGAATATATGATTTAAAGGTAATATGAATGATATATAAAAATAAAACATAATAATATGTAATAATAATATGTAATACAATAATAATATGTATCTAAGTACAGCACGAAAAAAGAAATTAAATTTGTTTCATTATTTTTGCCCTTACACGCCCCAAATCCGCCGAACAATCAACGCCATTAGAAGTCGATTTTTTAAACCATTCAAGAGCTTTTGACAAGTCTTTTGTGGTTCCAGTTCCAAATTCATAACATCGACCAAGTTCGCATTGAGCTTCAGGTAAACCTTCTTCAGCACTTCGCATAAATAATTCGAATCCTTTTGATACGTTAATATTCGTTCCTCTTCCTTTTTGAAAACATAATCCAAGTAAATGTAATGCTTTCACATTACCCTTTTCAACAGCTTTTTCCAATTCCATAATTGCAAGATAAAATTTTTGTTTTCGATAATAGTAGGCAGCAAGAGAATATCTAGCAGCGAGACATTCATCTTTTGATTTTTTAAACCAGATAACGGCTTTTGAACTCTTCTTTTTAGTATTCCCCCAACCCTCTTCAAAGCACTTTCCGACGAAATATTCGGCAAAAGGATTTTTACTTGCAGCAGCAGTTTGAAAAAGTTCAAATTCATTTTCTTTAGTACCATCATTTCCAATATTAAAATGATAAAATAAAGCTAAAAGAATAATATAATCAGATTTGTCTTTATGATAAAATAATAACCATTTAAAAATATCAGGAGCGGATTTAAAATTTCTATCTAAAAAAATCTTTAATAATTTCAGGAATAGATTTTATTCCTTTATTATATAAATCGTAAATTTCACTATATAAAAGATTCACAATTCCAATCATTGGGTCGTGATTAAGTGAAAATATTTTATCAAGGCAAGCGCTGAAAGCTTCAGTACTTGTAAAAACTATAGTGTCTCCTTCATCTTTATTATCATTGTTTTTATTGATATCGTTTTGATTATCGTTATTTATATTTTCTATGCTAGACATTTTTTTTTTTTTACAGTAATTTACAAACAGGAGAATTTATTTTATTATTTTTTTTGTTTTTAGGTTTTAGGTAAAGACAGAAAATTAATTTTTCCCAAACGTCCTGCAGAGCAGATTCTGCAAGTTGTATATAAATTATCAGTTTTTGTAATTGTACTACGTGACTCATTTTGTACAATTTCCTTATCGCATTACAAACACATAATATACGTAATTACATCACAAAAAACATTATCACAAAAAAGAATAAATTGTTTCTTTTTATAGTACATGATGATTTAAAAATAAAAAATTATAAAGAATGTACAAAAAACTTTGTGTATAAAAAATTATAAATACATAATAAACATTATTGATTTTCAGGTTGTAATTGTTGTTGTTTGGCTTTGTTATTTTTATACAAATAAATTAAACCGCCTACGATAATTATAGAAGCCCATGAAACAACATATGGTAAAAAATATAAAGGTCTTTCTTCTGTCGCGGGAAGTGGGAAAAACGAACAAATTGAAACTAAAATAATGAATATCAAAAATACTACATGTAAATTGAAAGGTATTTTAAAACCAACACCCCGGAATTTTTTCCGTAGGGTAATTAATCCAACTGCACATGCACCGTAATATATCGCTGTTAAGTACGACGTTGTATTAGCAAAAAATATAAAGAAGCTCGTTCCTATTGGTAAAAAGTTATCATTTTAACTTATAAATATTTTGAAAACTTTGTTGCGCATTATTAAGAATTGAATTCTTACCTGTTGGAAAGAACAAAATTAAAATTGCACAATAACAGAATTGTGCAATTAGGGCTTTTGTCGGTGTATTAAACAAGAAGCTCCATTTAGCGAAATATTTTAAACCCCATTCGGCAAAGATTTCAGGTATAAACTCTGTTATTGAGGAGTAGACTATAATTCTGGATCCTCTATTAATATAAATAAATAATAATAAATAGCGATAAGTAAATATAAATATCTTTATCCGACAAACTCTTATGATCATGAAAAACTTTCTTTCTGTTATTTTTTTTCATGTGTTACGATTTAATTATGTTCAAAAAAAAACAAACTCAGCGAGTGACTCCCTACCAATCATGATCATAAATTATCGGATAACACCATTATTGGGCAAATTTGTGAATAACGGCAATTTGGCTCAACCGGACAAATGATTGGCTGACAAGTGCCGCTTCGCGGCACTTGACAGCCAATATCATTTGTCCGGTTGAGCCAAATTGCCGTTATTCACAAATTTTTGCCCAATAATGTATACATATATGCATATCTATATATAATATATTTATTTGGGATGAATGTGAATAGACATACGTAAAAACCATTGACCCAACCGCGCCAAAGGAAGAGATAGCAATAATTGTGGAAATAAGTTTGTTTCCTATTCTATTACCAATATCTCCCCCAATATTACCAATATCTTCCCCAAAATATATAGCGATTACTTTACTGGCGTCGCCAATATAATTAGAAGTTGCGTCGGCAGGATTTACCGTCATTATAAATGCTATATTTATAAGAATATCTATATACAAAATAATAAATTTTGGTTATTAATGAAATTTAAATGAATTATTGACTCGTTGAATTTTTAAATTTTCGAATTTTCGAATTTATGATATTTAAAAAAAAAACATACATAATACAATACTAATAAGAATCGAATATACATTCGAAAAAACTAGGTTCCGCCGGGGCCGGTCCAATTCGTCAATTAAATCTACAAAGAAATTAATCGAATCAATTATTAGCATTTAATTAATCACTTATAAATTTACATTATTAAATTGTTGAAAAAAATACTTACAATTGACATTGTTCCACCCTTTTAAGTATAGCAAAGAAATATGAGAATATGTTTATGATCACGTATTTCAACTCCAAAAAAAAGGAATTTTAACATACCTTCGTATGCATACAGAACCTTTATCATGGCGTCGCCATAACTTCCGATGCTTTCTACAGGAATTTCATAGCTATTTATTGTGCCATTATTAAAGTTTTCGCCTCGATTTTGTAGGGCACCAATTATTATTCCTGCAATAGCGAAAAAAAAACAACACCGCAACCTTAAAAATTGCGAATGTTTGATTTATATACACTGCCATCTTGTTATTACAACAACTGTATAATGTTATAATAAACAATATGGCAATTGATATAAACCGAATTTCACTAATAGAATAAAAATAATAGATCATTAAAATATATATTTTAAAGGTTAAAATATAACTTTGTATTCACTTACAAGAAATCAGGGTTGGTGAAAAATCCGTCAGGATTTAAATACTCCGTTGAATTTTTATCACCTCGCACCAGGTATAAAAGGTACTGGGCACAAACGTATGAATCCGAAATAATGGCGGTAGGACGAATTACACTTTTATAGTAGAAATTATACAAATATCGTTTAAATAAATTTAATTACATTTATGTTTTGTTAAAAATGTATAGTGCTTACAATATCATTACAATGCTGAAGGCATGGGCAATGACACGATGGGGACGAGGATACGCTTCCTCGAGATACCTAAGTTCACCCGCCCCCCTCGGCAAAAACGAACCAAGCTATAGAATTAAAAGATCAAAATTTTGGCACATGACTTTTTTTGAATATTATTGATTTTCCTTATTATTACAATTGATTACCTCTGAATAAATCAGGCAACCTAGAAGACTGATAATTCCACCAATTACCCAAAAGGCCAGGGCAACAATTGGCGATTTTGTTAACCGCCATACATCTCCAGGCAGCACAAAAATTCCTATGCAAAAATTCAAAAATGACAATTTAATAATGATGTTGATAATCATACATAACAACACATAACAACACAATATAGACATATATATTCACCGCTGCCGATTATAACATTTATGCTAAAGCCCATTCCTGTCAAAATACCGAGGATCCTTTGAAATTCATAGGATCCTTTTTTGGAAGTTGATATATTTTCACTTTCATAAATTACTGATATTTTTTCATTATCCATATTATCCATATCGCACATATTCTTTAATTTTTTTATGTAATAAAATCGAAAAAAAATTTATTAACGATCTATTCTATACTGTATTGATAGCTGCAACTATTTATATATGGTTTCAGTGAGTTGCCTCAACGCACTTTTTTTTAAAAAAAACTTTAACTTCAT